GTTCATAAAATGTTGCCTAGAAAAATGAGATATTTCATCTGTGACTGTTTTTAACCAGAGATGCTTTTATTTGGTTACAGTATGTTCCCCCAGACCTTTGCATCTGCACCTTTGTGCTGGAACAGTCCCTGTCAGTGCGAGCCCTGCAGGAGATGCTGGCTAAGAGCGGACAGAACAGCGAAGGGGTGAGTGAAGATAGACACAAAAGCTCTTTGATTCTTCATAAACCATCCCCGAGTCATTTAATGTATGTCTCACTGTGCTCTGATATCCAGAGGAGGCGGCTGTAATAAATGCAGTCAGCCAAGTTGAATTTTCTTAACTGTTAGGAGGTTAATGGGCAAAATAGGCCCGTTTCAGTAGCCTGGGGACCCTGGCTGCAAAGAGGTCTGGGCACCCATGATGCTGATGAGGATGTATCCATTGAATGTTGGGAAATTACTGCAGGTTTCATGCGTTATGTTTACCTTTGCCCATTTGATTAACACTTAAGAAAAGAGCGTGATTTTCTTTTGTACAATAGCAATTAAAAGCCTGCATGCAAAATCAGTCGACAGTAGATTTGGATTGTATTTACAGCGTTGTACAAAAGTCTCGAGCTGCTCCTAGTTTCTGTAGATTTTGCTTCCAAGCGAGATTTTTTTGTAATTTTTATTTCTGTTTGCCAAATCCCAGCTGTCAAGTAGCCATTACGAAAAGGGCGGATTGGGGGAAAAGGCTTAAGTTGTATTGGATAGAACAGCGATGAATAGCGAATCAGTGATGAATCTATATTTTAAACTTTTGATTCAAATTTTCTTCATTACATACAGAAGAGGAGGTTAGTAGAGGCAAGCAACACAGAGTGTATACGACCAACATGGCGGAGGCTCTGGCATGATACGAGGCTGCATTTCAGCTGGTGGTGTGGTCAAAATTGATAGAATTATGAATGCAGCAAAGGAGTATCAGATTTGATCCACTGTGCAGTACCATGTTGAAAACATCTGATTGGCAGTGGCTTCATTCTCCAGCATGACAGCGATCCCAAGCAGACTGCCAAAGCAGGAAAAGGTTAACTGGATAGAAAAACAGACAGTGTAACACTCTCAGTCATGGACTGGCTTCCCCAGAGCTGGGACCTCAACATTACTGAGGCAGTGTGGGATCATGGTGACAGAAAACAAAACAAAAGGCAGCCAACATCCAAAAAAGAGCTTTGAATTTCATTCAAGAAGCATGAACAATTCCCGAAGACTACTTAAAGAAATGACAGAGAGAAGAAAAAAGGTGGTCATATTAAATATTGACTTTCAAGTTTAAAAATAGACTTGTACAAATTCTATTTATGTGCTCTTATATATTCTGTATTTCCTTGAATATTTGCACGTTTCAATAAATCAGAGCACCTAGTTCCTGTTTACCTAGCGAAACATAAAGAAATGAAGGGCTGCTAAAGACTTTTGCGCAGTCCTGTACCCACATAGTGAAAGTAAAGAGGATCGTTTAGTAGGGAGAACTGAACACGTTTCAAATTTTGCAGTAATCTGCACTCATTCGTCAACCTTTCCTGTGCTGCAAGTGTGTTTCCTGCTCTTTTACATTTCTATGATATATAATTCTACCATCTTTATCTTGTATTTTCTGTATATAATCCATCTTTCACGTGATAGACATGCAGCCTGGATCAGTGGGTATGTTCACTGCTCATGCCATTCCCCTCTCATCCCTTTGCACACTGCAGTGCATCCTTTGCTCTTCTTTTCTACCCTCATTGATCTCTGGTTTGACTTTTACGACACGTCACCTGTGAAATTTGTCTTTAGAAGTCATAGTTTATTACACACCTAAATAATTTTCTTTGAAACGATGGTACAACTGGTTTCTTATTCTTATTGTTTGCACTGAAGCACCGCAGCAATTTCCTAATGTTGTAAACCTCAACATCTGGCAATAAACCCCATTCTGATTCTGATTCTGATTCTGATTCTGATTCTGATTCAATCTAGTGTTTCCGTCTGATTGAAACCCAATCGGTACAAAGTGCCTGATTGGGTTTCATATAGACTTCCCAATAAGGTTTTCCATAAAGAATTACTTGTTATATAACTTGATTTTTGCTGGAGAACTAGAGCGTCTCCAATGTTGGATTAGCGTCAGATTAACATTTGTCTTGTCTTCGGGGGATTCAGATGAATGCTCAGTGCAGCATCATTTGTTTTGTGCTACCCTCCGCATAGAATAAGCTCTCATTTGTCACAGCATCTTCTTCTAATCATAGCAGCTGTATGCTGTGAGAGACGCTATAGCATGATGCAAACAGCTGATCTGATACGAACATTTCTGGAAGGAGACTGAAAGCGATCACGATTGATTTAGTCTCATAAGCTCTCTGCATGATTTGGTCTGTTCATCCTTTAATACCACGTGGTTACGGATGTGAGAATTTCCATAAATCTTTAGTTGTTAAGGCACATATTTAATGGCTTTACTTCAGAGATAAATGGAGATGTCAGGAGTGGATCTTGTCTGTGCAGCAGAATGACACGAGTCAAGACCATTGGTTCCACTGCTGCTGTGGGCGGTGTTAGCAGGAAATTGCGAGCTGCGGCGGAGAAAAAGGGAGCTCCAAAATATTAAACGCTAGATCAAAGCTCAAATGAACATGGTTGACCATCCTTCTTGCATCAGCACCTTTAAAAGGCTTAAAATAACACTGGAGTTAGCTTGCCTCTCTCTCTTCTCCTTTTGGGAAAGGAATTATGCACCGATTTACATTTCAGTCTGGCATCAAAACATCGTCTCCTTATCGCTAATTTGTTTGGCCTTCTGTTCGTCCCTCATCTCTGTAGAAGGCAAACTTGTTTCCACATAGCCAATCAAATTCGTTTTGTCAGCCACACTGACTCACTATCAGCCAGATGACAGTTTGAGCCATAGATTTTAAACAACCAAATTTAGCTGCTCAAGTCTCATTTGTATCTAGCTGGCAAACATAAACATACATCTTGTCCTGGGCTCTGTGCTGTGAATCAAGTTCAACATACTCTGAATATTTTTCTGTTATCTGGCTTCACTTGCACCGACACTGGCAGTCAGGCTAAGCAGACACAGGAAGGTGGTAATCAAGTCAATAAGTCAACCCAGGGTTTCCCAGTCGAGCTGTGGGTGCGTTCGCATGAATGGGGTTGCGTTGGCAGCATCTTGCCAATCACACACATGGAGAGATCTACTGGCAGAGCAGGCAGCAAGCAACACAGCTAGTGCAGACAAAGCAGCAGTGTGTGTGTGTGTGTGTGTGTGTGTGTGTGTGTGTGTGTGTGTGTGTGTGTGTGAGAGTAAGATTGTTGAGTGAAGTGCTTTGGAAACATTTGGTATAAGGTCAACTACAACACGGAAGACGAATCTAAATGTCTTACTGATGCTCATCGGGGAGAGACAATGACTTCAGACTCGATTCAACGAATTGAGATGCTCTTACCATCTTCACCCTTCCAGGAATATCTCGCAGGTAGTGCTGGAATAGTAGTGACACCATTTTCCAGAGAACTGATTGGTCAGTAGGTGGTGATTTCACACATGCTGATGGCTAATCTCAAGGATATCCTACTCAGTATCAGGTTAGATCTGCAGTATAAGTTGCCATGGTGATGCAGTCTGCTAAGAAGTGAACTGCCTTTGTAATACTGAAAACCCAAATCCGGCCTCTGCTCCTCCTCTGCACTCAATGAGTAAGGGGCTCTGCAGGCGTCACTTTGCACCTGCTTTTTATCTGCTCAGCTGTAACATTGAAATACTTCAGTTCACACAAATTCGGACCAAACAGAGGAAAACAGGAAGTGAACTCCAAAAAGACACAGGAAATAGCAACATGGGAAAACACAGAAAATGAAAAGGACAACATACAATACCACAAAGAGCAACACAGGACTATTTATACACTAAGGGCTGATTAGGAAACTGAAACAGGTGAAATTCAACTAACATACAAGTGAAGATAGCCAGGATGCCACGACAAAGAAACGCAAAAGAACCAAAGCAGGAGCACGAACAGAAACACTACTTCAAAATCAAAAAGTCAAAGTCAACTTTATTGTCAATTCTGCCACATGTACAGGACATACAGAGAATAGAACACAAATACAAATAATAGACAAGGTGTGAACTAGAGCTCCAGATGTCACTCATCCATTCGCTTATCGTTTTTCGGGGTTTCGGCGGGGCTGGAGCCTATCCTAGCTGTCTTAGGACGAGAGACGGGGTAACACCCTGGCCAGGTCGCCGGTCTGTCGCAGGGCTAACACATACACATAGACAGAGACCTATGGCCAATTAACCCACCCCCACTAAGTGCATGTCTTTGGACTGTGGGAGGAAGCCGGAGTACCCACACAAACACGGGAGAACGTGCAAACTCCACATAGAAACTGAACTCAGGACCTTCTTGCTGTGAGGCAACAGTGCTAACCACCGTGCCACCGTGCTGCCCACGGTGATATGCTGCTGATATGATGTTACATTACGATGCATAAGCATCTAAAACAAATGTTCAAACCTGATAAAACAGGAATGACAGGAAATGTTACTTAGGTCAGTTAAGCTGCTGATTTTGGTTCCTACTTTACAATCAGTTAAAAAAGGAATAAATAAATAAACGTTGCCTGCTCGAGTCTGAGCAGACTGTCAGTCAGACGGAGACTCTAACGATGCCTCCAGCTGGCTGAGAGTAGAGAAGGATTTTGACCTCTTTTCCTCCTTTAATCAATAAAAAAAAAAACTATAAACACTAAATTCAAAGATCAAATTGACCTTATTTTTGAGATGAATTCTCGTGTACATACACCTATTGGATTTACTTATCGCAAACATTTATATTGTAACCCGTCTCACTTTACGTACCTGTGTAGCAAATACTCCAGAGACTTTTTAGACTTCTTGGATTGGCAATTTGAACCGTGTCACTCGAGTGCGTTCTCTCCTCTCACGTTTATCTGTTTTCGATATTGTCTACCTATTCATCATTCTTGCCTGCACTGAAATGTCACTGGAGGAAGCGCCATTAAAGGGGAAATGGAGGTTGAATATGTCTCGGCTGAGGCTCTGAAATCAATATGTCTTTGAACAGATGGGCTCATCAATAGACAGTGGCTGGAGCAAATGGTTGTTGAGTTCAGGCAGTTCAAGCGGTTTTAGCCGGAAGGCACAGAGACACAAAGGGCACAACAAGGAACCTGCAAAGACAACACACAGCAACTAGTGTAAATGCCAGGCCGCATTTAGCTCAGTATCCACTAATAATTACT